TTAGACTACTAATATGGGAGTAGATTTGAAAGCTTAATTGGGTTGTCTGGTTTGGGTGCTGTTGTAACTATTTTTGGTGCTTTATCGTAAACTTTCGTATTACTGCACCTACAGATTCGATTTTCAAGTCTCAATGGGGATCAGTATTACTAATGAATCACGTACGCTCCGTGACTAAATTTCTTAAAACTTTGTTTTAGATATTTTGGATATATGAATAGACGATATTTTGTTGCACTTTCCCATAACTGGATTCCATACGTCCACACCGGAGCTAAGACTTGCTTGTATATTGCCTAGAGAGACGGGCAATTTTTTCCCAAACTTGTTTTTAGTCCAACTTGTTTTTTCTTTATATGTTTTTTCCATTTCAACTTTACATCCAAGTTCATGCCAAGGCAATTAGCTGCATTTGAGTATGGTATTCGAGCACTGGACATAGTTATTGACAAATAGTCGATTTTTTTGTTTATGAAATTTTCATGGATGGATTTCATTTGGTTGATCTCAATTTTCCATTTTTAAGTCAAACTAATAATTTGATTTATGGTATGTCGCGTTGCTTCTGTTGATTCCTTTCAAAAGATTTCAATTAGTAGGGATTGCTGTATCATCTGTAAATGTGGCAATGACACTTTCTGGTTTTAGGTAATTCTAAATACTTCAGTCAAAAGGAACTATACACCAATTTGAAACGAAATCAAACATCTTCTTTGGTTGAAATTTTGTTCCTTTGCAAGTAATGCAATTAATAAAACGGTTGACAATTCAATATTGTACGTTGCTGATTGCTTGATTTTTTAAAAAGTTGAACAAGACAATAAAAATATTATTAACTATTGTGATTGTAAAAATCTCAGTATGTGTGGTTAATTAATTTCAATTAAAATTACGTAGCCAAGTCGGTGAGATACAATTGAACTTTGCTCCTCGAATTTAGCACGTGAGTAGTGGGAAATCGTGGCGCTTATCTATATCAGAACTAGTCATTTTAGCATAAAACACATGAAAAGAATAAAAATAAAAACTATCAGAAAAAGTTATTAACAATAAAAGCGAAAAGTCTGAAAAATCTAAAAGATCTGAAAAATCTCGTGTGGCATTTTAGCACATTTTTTACCACGGAAATTCCGCATCTGCCGAGCGTGTGAGATATTTTAATTTGAATAGAAAATGCGAAATAAAAAATGGAACGATAAACCATATATAAATTTTTAAATTTGTTATTGAACTTGAATTTTTAAATTTCGATTCATAAAAATGTATTAAATTTTAATTTTGAATGAAAATTTCCATGTGTTGTGATAGGGTTGCCCATCAAAGATACTTAGTTACTCATAGCCATCATATCGCATATTTGATTTTTAATTAAATAATTAGATCAAACTTTCCTATAGTTGTATTACTATACTTTCCATACGATTAATTGGATTGAATGAAGCACAAATGATGATAGAATTTAAACAGATGTCGTAGTATTCTATTGAAAACTTTCCATTAAACATTTTAAACACAATATACAATATTATAAAGCAGTTTTTATCTATTGCTTATTTACGTATAAAAACTAATTGAAGACAAAAAAAATGTCTCAGGTGCATCCCTAACCACATTATTGTTGAGGTTGGCAGAGATTGCCTTGTTCTCAATCTAAAGTTAAGCTATTTTAATTGAGTTCAGCTGCATGAATACCCTGAATTCATGTTTAATTTTTATTATTTAAGATGAAAACTGCGAAACATATATGTGAGTACAAGTAAATTTTTACAAACAACTAAGCATGTTTGTTTGGCATTTTTTGTTGTCCACTCTGCAGCATGATGCAGTAATAATAATCTTATATCCATAACCCATATAATAAAAAGAAATTATTTCTTAAATCGATTACAGGAACAGGAATAAGAAAACATATACTGGAAAGTCTTGTTTATAAACCTTCAAATGTGGTACTTTGTAAGCATCGGAACGTGACCGACATAAGTCACCAATAAAACAACCCAATAACCCAATGAATTTTACAGATGCAAGGAAATGCGTCTACATTTCTTAATTTAAATATTTAATTAGAGATAATGTAACCGTTATATATCTTTTTAAATTAACTTCTTTCTGAAGAAATAGTTCACTGTACAACTGCCTGTATGGCAAATGTTAGTGGATTAGGTCACTACTTGTCTAATAATCTTGTGTTATTATAAAATTTAGTTCGAAAATAGTTTTCGTTATTAGCTAATATGTCATAAAAATATTTATAATGATTATATAGTATTAGTAGTAGTAAAAATAGTATCACAGCTTTGAAGTTAAATGAAAACCATTTCTTAATTATGCAGTTCATTCATTATTTGTTTAAGCTTTTGCATCTCTTGGGTTGCGTATACGTCAGAGATGCCTTTGTTTTGGTTCTTACATGCTACGTCATATACGTTTTTGTTTTGATGAGAAAAATCTTTAAGATATTTTAAAATTTCAAAAATTTGTTTGTGGAATGACTAAAAAAAAAGTACTGATCAAATTGATTTAAAAATTTTTATGATGGAGCAATTTTTTTTTTGTTTTTTTTTTGTGGTTAAAAGTGATCTATGCCAAATAGTAAATAAAAATTTTCTTTTTATTTCATTTCATAATGCAAATTTTTGAGGAAAAAAAGAATAAATTTAAATTTTTTACGACTGCCCACGTTTTTTGTAGCTACACTCTTGAGTGATGTTTACTGATTGATTTCAATAAAGAAAATCTGCTGTTTAAGTTCGTACATTTTTGGACAGGAAATCTACTTGTTGATTAAAAAAACTTAAATAATTTTGAATTTTTAAAAACAAAAAATTAATGATTCCTCTCATATATAATAATATTTTGAATCATTGAAAGTAGATAAAATGCATACAGATTGTACACTAATAGATAATCACTGAAAGTAGGGATCACATATAAGATTTTGTTTAACGAAAAAAGTTCGATTAACGATAATATATATCTACTATTTAAGACAAATATTAATAACTATTTGCATAGATATGTGTCATTTTACATTAGCGGAAACTTCTTTATAAAAGCTTTACAAGTATATTATTATACAATTGCTCTCTTAACAAAAGCTGTTCATATCAAGATGACTCCACAGCCAAGTACTAGTATTAGTAGCATTCTGTGTTTTTTAAGATGCAAGATCCACTCAACTATTACTACCAAGATTCGCAAACTAAACACTTTAGAGCATCTACGTATCACGATTTCATGGTTTCGGCACCATCCATCAACTTTAATTTCGAATTATTCGTACATATATTGCTTTCCGTGTTATGGAATATAAAAAGTAAACAACCTGTAAACGAAGTGAACATCGCTGCTATATAAAATACTCCTCAAAAGAAACTCATATTCAAATGTGCTGCTGTTAGATTTATATTCATTCCGTGCTATAAAACATGTTATGGTATATCCAATAATGAAAAATGACAAGTCATTTTAATATATAATTGTTTTAAATAGAAATAGGAAGGAAAAGAAGTATGAGCAATATTAAAAACGATATATTGAAAAAATATAGTAAAGTATTATCAATTATTTTCATATAAAAGTGTTGAAAACATTCTTTATAATAAATCTAGAAAGACCATGTATCAAAATTTCACAGTTTCACTGGAATTTACAAAAATATTACGGTAAAAACATTAAGGGTATATAATTACATTAAAGTAAATATTATTGCTTTCAGTGCGAAAATATGAACTATTTATAATAATTGAAAAACATATTTAATGAGAATTATAATTACATCTTTTATTTATGACTTCTACTAGTCAACTTAACCAAACCGTAACCGTAAGACGCCACTTACGCTTTGTTGCACATACGCCTATCGAAATGAACAACAGATTAACTGCAAAGACCTAAAAAACACTTTTGCAGTAATTCTGTCGTACACATCGAACAGACTTTACCATTAAATCAATTATATACCACCCGTCTTTTATCAAAATATAATTTTAAAGTATGTAAGAATTATAAAGTGAATTATAAAATACAACTACTTGTACAGAAGTATTTTGTAAATTTTTTTAGATTAGTCACTATATTGCTGACTGGCCTTATTTTCTATTATTATTTTTAGTGCTATTAGCTATGACTTTAGTATGCTTTTGATGTTATTTGTAAAATTTTTTTGTGTTCGCGTTTGATAATTTCAACTAAATGTACATATTAAGTCGTTGACTGTAGGGATCTTAGGCTGATATCTTAAACAATTATATTTATTTTGAGAAAGTCTAATTAGTCTAAGTCTTTAAAAAAAATCAAAATGTATAAATATTGTCAATCAAACTACTCGCTTCGTAAAAAAATAGCTATGAGAAATTATATTAATTAGCTCCAAATATTTCAAAGAAGTAGAAACGTAAACTTCACTTGCAATGTTTCTTAGGTTGTAATAATCTATATGGGCTGAGGTAATTACACCTCGAAAATGTAGACACAATAATTTTATTTTAAAGACATGGAAATAGAAATCGTTATAGGAATGAATGCGAAATTATCTTTTATAGTCTATATATATTGTACAATATATTTTATTTTTGGGTAATTTCAAAATTTTAAAATGGACATACATAGTACCTACGTAAATTGCTTCTCCCTCGTAAAATAATTTGGCAGTACGCATAAATGCACTGCAAACCGAATTCTTAGTGCAAAAAATAGACAAAATATAAGAAAGAATTGGCTAAATTATAGGGAACTCTCTATGAGAATAAAATAAAATCTCTGTACTCATCGCAGATACACGTATATAGTACGATTTAGGTTGCTCTTGACTTTTGTTTGTGATATCGATGCAAAATTTATCTTTTCCCTATGCATATACCATACGTATGTACTTCACAAAGTTAAAAAAAACTATTAATCTTTTTAAATCGTTTTCGCAATGCGCACAAGCAATACAATTTAAATGATAAAATAATTTTTTTAAATTAATTTACGAACTCATTTTAAAATTTTTACAGAAAATCCCAACAGTTGCGTCGGGCTATGATATCGAACGTAACGGATCAAAGGATAACGCGAGCATAAACCAACCAACAAAGTATGTTTTAAATTTTTTATTTTGTGTTATTAAATAATATTTATATAAAGTATAATTAAACGGTTTATAAAAAGATATTATTACTATATGGTATATTTTCGAAAAACAAATCGGTTTAAAGAAAAAAGACTGCAATATTAAAAAATCGTAGTCGTAGTCGTAGTCGTTAGTCGTTAGTCGTAGATGCTAACTTTAATAATTTTATTGCAAAATAGTTAAGTGAAGAAGCAAACAAAATATATAAATTATTTAAAAACAAAATTTTAATAAACTAAAGACAAAATGTATAGAAATATTGAAAACGAATCCTCAACTTCAATGTTTGAAATGTATACTTCTTCGGATAGATTCATACGCTCGGATATGGCAGATGTACCGGCACAGCAGGCGGCAGGCTCGACATTGCCTTTAGTGATATCACGAAAAAAAGGCGGAGCGGAAGATGCTAGTGGCGATTATAATCCATTCGAACACCGGAATGTAGAGCATCCGACTTCGTAAGTATATTAATCCATTCTTGTTGTAAAAGAGTATTTTTTAATTAAAATTCATACGAACTCAAAAATAATTGCTGTGAGTAATGTTTGATTATAAACATTATTTTTAGTTATTTGCTATAGAACTAACTTAACTGACTTGCCATTGATTTGAAGGTAGTAAACAATCAATAAATAAATATAAAGTTAAATAAGTAGATATAAGATTATAGCAGTTATGATAAAACAGAAGTTTAGAAAATCCAAAAAAAATTTAGAGGTTTCAGAAGAGGCATTTCAGACTTACTTATATAGGAAGAAATATACCAAATGATCCATTTTGTCTGGCTAAAAATCGATTTTTTGAATAGTGATATTGGCTTAAATTTCTAAACGTACTTACTGCTCTTTTACCTATTACTTAATAATATATAAAAATTTATATATATAAATATTATATTATATAAACATATATTATATATACATATTATATTATATATACATATTATATTATATATACATATTATATTATATATACATATGAATATATATTAATGCGCTTGAATTCTTTTACTATGAATATACTCGAACTATAATATTTGGATTAAAAACCTTATATGTTCATATGCATTCAAGCTGCTTAAAGATGTTCGAGTTGCTTGAGGATGTTCGAACTTCGAACATAAAATTGGAAGTCTGCCTAAAATTACTAACAATTATAAATAATTATAATTGATAAATGTTCCGAAGTAATTACAGTAATAGCTCTCCTGTAATAAAGGCAAGTCTCTAACCAAACCCTGCCTTTCTAATGACACCAAAATATCTTTTGTCGCAAAGTTCTTGTTTATCGAGAAACTTGATTGGTTTTCTGGGAAAGTGATAAAAATAATCATCTCAATCGTGACTGAATAAGCTAATAAGATAAAAATTTTTTTTTGTATGATATAACGGTGACTGCTTTGTCATTAATAGCGAGGAAGCAATATACGTTCAGAGTTCTTCTTTCAAAATTTCTTTATGATAGTATATGATTATCTGTCAAATCATCATGTAATCCAAATCCGAACAGCAGTATCATACACTCCCTATTTTAAAATTTAATTAAAAGTCTGTACTAAATTAGGTTTGTTTGAATTACCCAGCACAAAAAAATTTATATTCTTTATAAAGTGTATTTTTACGGCTACAGTTTATATTGACTTCGATTTTGAGGTTTTGGAGTTTCTGGCACAAAACCTGTTTGTAGCATATGTATGAGTACTGTGCCTTGAAAGAGCTCTTAGTTCTTTGACAGACTTTCATATAGTAACTATGAATACATTTTATCCATTGAGGTCTTCTGATGTTGATGGCATGTTAATGAAGTGAGTGATTATATAAGCACATTCATTTCTAATGTATCGTGATTGTTCATCAAGACAAACATTTTTGTTTTGAAACCACTGAAATTATCTTAAGTACTAATCCGAAGTAAATATCTGACTACGTAACTGTTCTTTGCTATAGACACAAGTTAATAACATACAATACTTTACATAATAGTGACGTATCGATTTCCAGATAGGAAGGTAAGGGGATGGATCCTACTTTGAGAATATATTCTACAGACAGTATATTGTAAAATTATTAACAAAATAATTTTACATTATATTACATTCAATTATCTTTTGCGTTAATATTTGAACAAGAAGACCTAGACGTGCAAGGGAAAATGGGTTATGTTCAATATCTCAAGTTAGAAAACCCAAATCTAGGCATACCAGTCGTACGTTTTTTGCTTTAAATCAATAAACTGAAAGTTAAAATCTTCAACAAATAAAAAGGCCTTATTTCCCACACCTTCGATTTTCATTACAGTTAGGGCGTATGTCATTATCTTATGGGGCCTTGACTCTCTTTATATCATGAAATATCATTACGGATACACTGTAAGGAGAGGCATCATTACTTGATGAGTCCTTTTTACATATGAAGTATTTTTTTCTGAAAAGAGGGTTATGGGCAGTGGCGTAACTACAGGGAAGCAACTGGAAGCAACGCTTTCGGGCCCCCGAATTTAGGGGGCCCCACTATAAATTTTTGTATTCATTGTATTTTTTTTTAATAAATTCTCAAAAGTGGGACGAAACGTTTTTTGTTGGAATAACTTCATATTGCATTTTATAAAAGATACGTAAATTTTAAATTTAAAGTACATAATATGTATGTACTTCAAATAAAATATTAAACCTATTTATGAAATAAAAAAGTTTTTCTAAGAAAAATATGTGTCTTGATCGAGAGTTTATATGGAAGCTATATCTAAATTTAAACCCATTTGAAAATAATTTTGTACGTTGTCTTTTGCAAATATCAGTACTGTATACACCATATTCCATTTGAATACCTTTATTAAAAACGGAGAAACCTCATATCCGATTGTTAAGTTTATATCACAGCTACAAGAAATAGATGTCCAATTTCAATCAAATCAAATGGTGAACAGGGTGCGCTCCCGAAAAGTATGTGTATAAAGTTTCATTCGAAGAGTTCAAAAGCTGAGAGAGTAGTTTGAACTGTAAAAGTATACTGATATATACTTAATGGTATTTCCGAAGTTTCCTTTACTGCGTTACGAAAATCTTGACAAACCTTATATACCTTTTTTACATTTTTTCGTGTAAAGAGTATAAAAAGAGCCCCTTAGTATGTTGGTAGGGGCCCCTTAGTTAGAATTTGCTTACAGGCCTGAAAAATGTAGTTACGCCACTGGTTATGGGATGATGATTATGTTCATACTTGGACACCAAATCCTTTCAAATAAAAAGTCATTATTAAACTGCGTCTCTTCTGCTTCTGCTTTCTTCTCATTGAAAGGAGTGAAAACCCCAAATCTTTTCCAAAACATTTTCTTGCTATAAACGACATTTATGACGCACTGCGTCAATCGACTGGTCTTGCACTTTTGATTCGGCCATCAATGAAATGCGCTTGAAATTAAATATGTAAAATATTTGTTGTCAATGTGAAAGCGAGTAAGTAATTCGCACATTTTATATTTCTAATTTTAAAATAATATTTTACATAATTTTATTTTTTATATAGTTTTGTTTATTTCTATTTGATTTGATTCGATTTCGCTAGAGCGGTCTCCGCTCTCTTTTGGCACAGAAAACAGCACGTGTCCTTGGTCTTGAATTTGTTGCCAAAATTATAGTGAATGCATATGTAGAAATGTAGATAAACATTCGCCTTCAATTTGCGTCTGTGCATGCATTTCGTAGATGCAGAATGTATCTTTACAATTATTTGCATATTGACTTCTAGATACAATTCACATTCAGATAAGAGAAATATATCGTTTGTGTGCGCTGTAATTTTCCACGACCGTAAAAACAGGAAATTAGTCGACAATTAAATTGCACTGCAAAAATACTGAAAAATTTAGTTTTCACTGACTTGTACTTGATTCGATGAGATGAAGCCTTTGAAGATGTCAACTAATCAATTTAAAAAAATTTGAATAACATTTTTTTCCATTTCTATTTTTTTATTTTTATTGTAGTTTTTTTATTACTTTTATTTTTGGCGAATTAATTTGCAAGTCTTTGGCGGCTAACAATTTGCAACATTTTAATCAATTTAAATAAATTTACAATTGCAAATTAATTTCCCTCAATTGATAGATACGAATATCACGTTTTTTGTTCATTTTGATATATACCATAATATTCTGAATGTGGAGTATTATTTTATTTTGATTTTTACATTTCTTAAAATTGAAATTGAAATGAAAATTTTAATTGCGACTTTTGTGAACGTACTATTCGGATATCCCGATATCTGACTTACCAGATATTCGAATTACTAGATAAAATCCGAATAATCAAATTATTCAAACATTTGAAATTCTGCGGACTTATGTTATTTACTAATATGGGAATGTACTATTCGGATTTCCCGATATCTGACTTACCAGATATTCGTACTACTATATAAAATCCGAATAATCGAATTATTCAAACATTTGAAATTCTGCGAACTTATATTATTTACTAATATGTGAATGTACTATTCGGATATCCTGATATCTGACTTACCAGATATTCGAATTACTAGATAAAATCCGAATAATCGAATTATTCAAACATTTGAAATTCTGCGAACTTATATTATTTACTAATATGTGAATGTACTATTCGGATATCCCGATATCTGAATTACCGGATATTCGTACTACTAGATAAAATCCGAATAATCCAATTATTCAAACATTTGAAATTCTGCGGACTTATGTTATTTACTAATATGTGAATGTACTATTCGGATATCCCGATATCTGAATTACTGGATACTCATATTACTGGAAAAAATCCGAATAATCAAATTATTCAAACATTTGAAATTCTGCGGGTTGATGCTATCTACTAATACATTAAATTTGTGAGCAAATAAATTAAGTAAATAGTGTCATTTGTGACAATTAGCTAAGAAAGACGTTTTGAATCCACAAAAACCTCGTAGATGTTAGTTATAGCTTTAATATTTTAATACTGATGTCATCTTTTATAACAGTCCACTGATTCAAATTTTAGATGAAAACAATTCTTTAGACCGTTTACCTTTTATAAACCATTTATATTACTAAGCTTCTATAACACTATAGCTTACTCAAATTTCTTAATTATTAGTTACTAGATAAAGCTAAACCAATACGAAACCTTGTTTCGTCTCTTGTAATTCCTATATAGCTAATTAATTGTTATCCAATAATCAGAAACATGAACAGAGCTTTTGAAAACATTTAATTGAAACAAGGCATTGCAGTTATTTTGAAAAAATCCCATATATTTTAGAACAAAATTATTTCACCCTTCTCCCCAGAATATGCCATTGTCTATAAAAAATTTATTAGAAACTTTTTTCTATATTTCTATTAAAAAATCAGTTCTAATAATAACGCCTGTTAACCTTCAAATGGTAACATAACGCCCCCTAGCATATGTAAGTCCAAATACTTTCTAATATACGAGTATATTCAGACTACCATGGTAATAATATTTAGTAGAAAATAGATATAATATTTTATGAAAGTATATACCAAAAGTATTTTAATCAGAAATCTGGTTAGTAGTTGAAAACTGAAGAAAAAGTGAAGAGAAATCATTAAGAAAAATTAAATCATTGATCTAAAATTCCCTATAAGTTCTCAACAAATAATTAAATGTAGTCAGTGAACATAATTGAGTTCGTTAAAAATTCTAACATTAAAAATATAATAAAAATACTCTAAAAATGTTTCGATATTAACATGATCAATATTTCAGCGATGTCGAGACCTTGATACATTTGCTTAAAGGCTCTCTGGGTTCCGGTATTTTGGCCATGCCAATGGCATTTATGAATGCTGGTTTATTTTTTGGTCTTGGAGCTACGCTTGTTGTCGGTATTCTTTGCACATATTGCGTACATATTCTAGTGAAGAGTGCGCATATTCTGTTGCATCGTCGTAAAATACCAATGATGGGCTTCGCCGATGTTGCCGAACAAGCATTTCTAGATGGTCCACCGGGTCTACAACGTTGGTCTCGCTTCATACGATTTGTTGTAAATGCGTTTCTTTCCGTCGATTTGTTAGGCACGTGTTGTATATATTTAGTATTTGTTGGTACACAAATCAAACAAATCGTGGACTATTATGAAGCCTTCGATATAAGCTTGCGTGTATGGATTCTACTCTTCACTGTGCCACTTATTTTCATGAATTTAATACGAAACTTGAAATATTTGATACCTTTCTCATTCATAGCCAATGTTTTGTTGTTCGTTGGTATCGTAATTACGTTTACATATATTTTAACCGATGTACCAAATCCATCTGAGCGTACATCAGTTGCAAGTGTTGTACAGTGGCCATTATTCTTTGGTACTGTTATTTTTGCATTGGAAGGTATTGGTGTAGTTATGTCTTTGGAGAATGAAATGAAACAACCGAAACATTTTATTGGCTGTCCATCCGTTTTAAATATTGGCATGGGAATAGTAATTGGTCTTTATACTGTACTTGGTTTCTTTGGCTATCTGAAGTATGGAGGTAAGACTGAGGGGAGCATAACACTAAACTTACCAGTGGAAGAGAAGTAAGTAATCATGTTAGTGATGATAACGTTCAATTTAATTTGGGTTATATTTGGTTCAATTAGATTGGCACAATCCGTTAAGGTGATGATTGCAGTTGCCATATTTTTCACTTTCACATTGCAGTTCTATGTACCATTTAATATTATATGGCGAGGAGTTAAGGACAGTATTGCAGAGAGTAAGAGAAACATTACTGAAAATGGCTTACGTATTGCACTTGTGGTGAGTATATTTTAGTAGTGGACTAAATATATTATACAGTATTATGTGGAACACGGATGGCTCACTTATGGTCGGAGGGGTCAGGTACGAATATGGTACATGAGTTTAGAATAAAACCTGATCATCACTTGGTAAAAAAACTTGCCATGGATAGGTACCAATTTGAATATTAAAAATAATTACCGAAAATACTTGAACAAAGTAAGGAGTACGGATTTTGAATATTTGGGAGCATATTAAGATAGAAGGTAGTGAAGTGTGAGACATACTTATAAGGAAAAAATATTTTTGCTTGTGAGCCCACATGGCTTTTGCGAACAAGAAAAAAAAAAAGAAAAGAAAATTATATTGGGATGACATAAGTATAAATTAAACTTTTAATTGCTTTTAGAGATTTAAAACTTAAAGCGAACATTGTAGGTTGGACTATCGCCTAAATGAATTGGATTCTTCTTAAATAGTTTGTCTATAAATTACGTGCCGGTAAGCTCTTCTGAACTGCTGCTTAAACTATACACACATTTGGATAAATACATCTCATCCAATAGTTGACTTTTAACTTGGTGAAATAGAGCAAATACTACTATTTATTGGAAAAGCAAAACTGAGAGAAGCATTAAGGGTCATAAAAGCATGGTACTCTATCGCGTATTTTAAAAATAATTATAGTTGGAAAAACAATTAGCTAAATGTGTGAAGCTCCAATAACATTCTTGATACGATTGTATTTAGTTAAAGACTTTGATGCATAAATGCCCATCAAGTGATTGTGAAATATGATTTAAATAATATTAATAAAAAATATTATAATAATTGGCAAATATGTTAAGTTTTCTCTAAAGTGAGTGATGTGGTAATATTAGATGTGGTGTTTTTAAGTCTTTAGTCTTAAGTGCTTATAAATTCGGATTAGTGTAGCTTGAAACGTTGGTCTACTTCACGCAGTCACTATATTAATGCTGACATCTAATACCTAAAAACACTAATTATTCTCTTTTTTCCAGATTATGTGTGGCCTTATCGCTTTTGCATTACCAAATCTTGGACCTTTCATTTCACTCATTGGTGCCGTTTGTTTAAGTACACTTGGTTTTATGATACCAGCGACAATTGAATTAGCTGTATATCGCGAGAGTCCTGGCTATGGTCGCTTTAATTGGATCATGTGGAAGGATATATGCCTAATAGCTTTTGGTGTTGTAGGCTTCCTTACTGGCACTTATGTGAGCATCTTGGAGTTCCATGCAGAATTTAGTGGAGACCATATCGGAGATTCTAAGTGATGTTAAGACCTATGCAAGATTTTAAACAGTATGAAATATTAGTGAATATTTATTAATCAAATGTACAACAGATAGTTTTTAAAATGTACCTAGAAATCGTTGTTAGAAACGGTTTAAAAAATTAATCAATTAAGAATTGAGTGCAATCCTGAATGATGCCTAAAATGATTATGCGGAGCACATTAGCATATCCCGTTTAATATTAACTAAAATATATCGATTAAAAGATGAAATTTAATTTTAATTTGTGAAGAAACAAAACAAGGATCCAACAAAATATCAAACATGTTTTTACAACTCATTGTGAAAAAGAAATTGAGTGAACTTTGTGATTTGATTGTAGATAAAAATAATTTTATTCCAACGTTTTGTTTCGAAAGGACGTCACTGATTCTTCGCAACAGAAATGTGAGCATTTGGTTCCATCAAAAGTGGCTGCCCTTCGAAATGCCTATTTCCAAAACCAAAATAATATTATTTTAAGTAAAGTATGATTATTATTAATAATTGTGATTAATTTAATTAATTGTTAATTTTCGCAATATTGCCAACCATTGAATCGAAACTCATGACGCATACCAAAAATGTTCCTAAGAGTAATTTTAATATTTTAATTTATTTAATTTAAGTTGAAATCCATTAAAATTTAGAAGACGTTTTAAATGTTCAATAGAAAAATAGTGTTCTAAAATTGCCCTTCTTCCACTTACCAATATTTTCACGACCTTCCAAATCCTTCCCGAACTTGAAGCTAATTCCGCTAATTCCGCTAATTCCGCTAATTCCCGCTTATTTCAATTTTCAATTCGTGCAATTTGTGAATGATATCGGAGAGGTAATAACCATTAGGAAAAGATATATACAATACAACAGTATCAGTTTAAGAAATCGTAGTTTTAATGTAATTTTTGTAAGATTGCATAGACTTCATGATAGCTTTAAAAAATATGTAGAATTTATATTTTTATTAAAAAACAGTTAAAGATTTTTTGTTTTGTTTCTTGCCTTATTTTGTATTTTACATAAAAACATAAAAAAAATATATTTTATTAAATAAAAATTTTTTAAAAATAAACAACTGTTTACTATTTCACTAAAGTGTTCAGTTTAAGAATAATAAAAGCTGATAATACTTCCCATCTACTTTTTATCTACTAGCTCATCTATATGAACTATATTATAGTTCAGGACTACAATTTTTGTGATTTCGAAAGTGTATGTTCAAGTCACACGCTTGTATGAGAGATTCTTTTAAAAATTTTAGTTCAATATATTGAATCTTATCATTAGGTGTATGATGAATACTAATAAGATTCAAATTTCTATAGGAAAGATAGCCATGGCTATCTTATAATACTGGTTCTCTTTGAGGTAACTTCAATGACTTGTGGGTACAAAGGTGGCAATACTATAGTACGACCGTAACTTGACGGACGTTCGATTTCTAAAAGTTAAGAGATTAGGAAGTACACAACTTTTTAATTTGTTGCCTTCATTATAGGGAAAATTTGAACCAACAAATCGTCACTATTTTTATAGTAAGTTCTCACAAATATTAAAAAAAAGTCTGCAAATAGTATAGTTAATAAAGATCCTTCATTTAAACATGTCTTAAGAAAAGCATTTGTTGAAAAATTCAATTTCCAAATTAGTAAGTTAAAATAAATGTGCATTAAATGAAGCCGATATTTATTGGAAAGACTTTTTTTTGTGCGAAGAGGAAGTTTAAAAATTCCTAAGGCATCATCACTATGTCGTCACAATAGTTGCAATAGTTGCGATTTGCATGGACTAAAAACAATCCCTCTGGCGTGTCAGACCGTTTTTACCTTGATACTTTATTGAGAATTTTTCAAGGTACGGTTTATTTATTAATAATTTTCTTTGTTGGCCTGCGTCCAGTCCCTGTTTAAGTTTATTTGTTAATCTCCTATTCTAAATTACGAATTTCCGAGAGCATGTTTTTTCCGTTTGAGTACGATCGTAATGAATCATTCTATAGCGCTCCGGTTTTCTTTAGATAGCATCATCTTTATGGTAATATTTCTGAAATTTATTTTACCGGCTATTGCTTCAAGTATGCCAGAATGCTGAAGCTCTTAGAACTGATTCATTGTACTGATGCTAGTGTCTTACGTTGCTGTTCTACTTTCAGCGAATCAGACCATATAGTGCTTCCAAATTCAGTCCTTAGTGCTTTATTATTTTTTTGTATAGAATCTGTCTTCACATACATCGTGAGTACAATTATCCCTGTTTTTTCAGTTGCAAGTTTTCGACCACGATCATCAAGCCAAATCTTTATTCGCAGCATAACTTGACTTGATTTGTGGAGCGCTTCATCTAAATTATGTGCCGTTATCACTGCACTTCATTGTCATGAAGTGTAAATTTTTTGGATTTTCTATTTCTAGAATTCCGTTGGAATTTAGGTTCCAAGTTGATTTAGATGCACTTGTTGTTACCAGTATTTTTTTTATCATCATTTTTTTTATCATTTTTATCAATGTTTGTTAGGTTCATTGGTACCCAAACCTGCGTTAGAGTGCATTTTGTATGTCACTCCAATGAACACTATTGCTGGAATTTTAGATATCTAGAGTCGCTAGAAGATCCAAAACCTGTAGTTATAGTTATTATTCTACGTTGATTTTACGCTGTTATTGGTCATTGCCGCTGCTCTGAATTCAACTTTCATGAATAGAGGGAAGGATTTCCCAGGTGTTGTTTCTTTATCTGGTTTTTTTTCATGTTGAGAATAAATGTTCATGCTGAGTTGAGAATAAAGTGTGGACTGTCTTCTATATCGTGTTGCTGTCTAAGTCTGGAATATGGGATCTTATTCCAAGCTTCTTCATGACAATTTCGGATACCAGTCCCCATGGATTTTTCTTTTTGTATATAGTTGTCTTCAAAGCGTTTTTTGCCGCCCTTTATTCTTGAATTTTCGCAATAGGTATGTTTCTTTTTTTATTTCTGGTCAACCGCCGTCATTTTGGTGGGACAAAAAGAATTCTGCTATTTCATCCGTCCACCAATAAACTGCTTTTTTACTATGGTTCCACTTACGTGTGCCTTATCTATTATCCTTAACGTTTGTTTCGCTTGTTTCACCAATACTATATGAAATGTACTGGTGGTTGCTGCCAGTATATTTCCTGATGTTGTTGCGAAGCTCTTGGACGTTAGACTGTTGTTTCATATATTCAATAAAATTTTGTACAAAATAATCTTATCTTTATACAAGAGAATGTATAAAATTTTATGTATAAATGTAATTATTTATGTATTTATATGAATAAGTCATATATGATTATTTATAATTCATATTCGTTCAGACCTATAATAGTTTATAAACTATAAATTTAATTACAGCTTTTTGTTAGAAAAATAGCTGTTTTTGGTATGGTATAAAAACGATCAGTTTAGACTAAGGCACAGTTTGCAAGGAACTGGGAATTTTGGATTATGATTTTCTTAGAAGAGCTTTTTCAATAATCAATGTATATATTATATGTATATAGATGTATGCATATTATGATAGATTTGAGATCTCAGTGTATATTTAAAATGATGTGTAAAGAGTATTGAAAGTTCTGCAAGTAAATATCTTTGTTTTTTTTTATGGCTTAAAATAAAGTTACATATAAATCGTAAGATTACTTATGCCCTTAAAAGTATGCTAACAATAAGTTGACTTCTTCGTATAATTTTAATATTGTGTATATTTGAAATGATGTGTAAGGAGTATTGAAGGTTCTGCAAGCTAATATCTTTGTTTTTATTTATGGCTTAAAATAAAGTTACATATAAATCGTAAGATTACTTATGCCCTTAAAAGTATGCTAACAATAAGTTGACTTCTTCGTACAATTTTAATTTTGCGCCAGAAAGTATGTAATATAAAATTGAAAGTGTTTCAAATATATTTATTGGTGTACGATTATTGGATAGATATTTATTGAATAAAGTTCTTGTGTTGCTGAAAAGCTACGCTTTCTTTGTATGGTGACAAAGAAGGTTTATTTAAAATTTAGAGAGTTTTTCGAATAACAAAGAAAGAAATAAAGGACAAACACAAAAATGTGCAGCCTTGGCTACTTGTGGATAAACACGATTCTAAGCCTGGCACTTGCAGTCCAAACAAATTATATGCGGACTAAAAACTAATTAAATAAAATTCGATTATTTCCTAAGACCACTGATGAAGAGTACTTGGCAATACTCGAAACAACGTTGTATGGTCAGCTAAATTTCAATAAAAAATAAAATAAATTTTTGTGTTTGTCCTTTATTTCTTTCTTTGCTATTGGAAAAATCATCTAAATAGATATTTATTTTGATCTGTTCGATGAAAGAACAGTAAGTGGTAAATGCGGTTAACACAGATGTTCAGAATCTGAAAAATACTTCAAATAATACAACTCATGACTCATATTATACAGAAATGCACAAAATTTGTGACCGTAGCAACAAAATTCTTCATTACTTATTTCTTCGTCTTAGTATAAACTATTATAAGCCGTACGTTTTTGTGAAGAAGATATTGGATTCAGAAAGAGGTTTTTAAAGCAGAGATAACTACATATTGGTTTTTTGTTACATTCGATTTTTGGGTAAATCTGACTCGTGTTTTCAAGTAAACTCTATTTAATACTTGGGCTTCAGAACAATTACTTTGTAATAATTGTGACTACAATAAAGAAGTTACCACATATGTGACTTCCATACCTATATTAAATGAAACACAATACACTTTTATTTCCACACAAAAAAGAACCAATTCAATTCTGTATTAACATTATTTAAAAATTCTTACAGACAGATCAAATACCCAAATAGGTTTTAATGTTCTTCCAGAAAACGTTGTTCTAAATATAAAAGAACCTACAGTGTTTCTCAAGCTTAAATTCTGTCCATAGTCAAAGTAGTCAAAAGAATGGAGATGCAGAGTACAAGCTTAAAAGATTGATATTAGTGTAGCTTGAAAAATGACAAGACAACTATACGGAAAAACTGTAATTTTTATCTTATTACTGCTAGAGCAACCATAAGAAATTATATAAAAGAGTAAGAAGAAAGTTAAATATCATTTACTATTGTATATTGCTATCCTACCATATAAGTATTATTTAAGAGATTCAAACATTATTCACTGCTTTCATTTAAAACTCTATGGATGAGTGATTACGTTGATAAAGTAATTTATCAATATAATTTATCATATATGAGT